ACAAACTTTTGTTGTGTTTAAGCCACTGTTATTTTAGGTTTCTATTACAGCAGTCAAATGTGACTGTTGCACATGGCATGCACATATTCAGCTATTTCACATATATGCACACAAATGGCAATAGGACTTCCAAATGTATGACAAGTTGCAATTTTGTAATTATCTGTGTTTTCTATTTTTTCATTTGAAAATATAGTATCCTGGGCTTTTGCCAAGGCTGGCTGGGAATTACTTGATAGGGGATTGTTAGACATGAAATTGCAAATGTATTTTAATGTATTATGAGCAGGAATATTTTGAATGCTAGTTCCAAATATGCCTCTGAATTTTGTCATCTGATTCTTGGGATCAAGGAAACATTATTAACTAAGTATAGACATAAAACAATTCCACTTATATTATATGAATGTGAGTTTTCCTAGTGAAATATTTGACATATTTTCTCTGCTGATTTCCAATATTAAATTTGACTTTTTTTCTGGTATGCTTTACTAACTATATCTATCTTTGGAAGATAAGCATAGTTCAAAAAGTCGAACTGGGCAAAGTGTTTATGTATATATTCCCCGGGATCTGAGAAATTGGAACCAGTTTAGAAATTTATTAGCTAATAATTAATGCTCTAAAAGAGTTTTTACCTACTTTTTTGTAGAGGAGCCCAAGTTGGCTCTTACCATCTATCGCCTATTCTTTCACAAGCTGTTTATTTTGTTCTCTGCTATTGTCAAACAGCTCTTTACAGTTTTATTCACTGATCAGGTCCAAATTCTTATGGTTCTGAAACTTAGGACAGGGTTGAAGACTGTGGCAAGGATTTCTTGGAACAATTCCAAGGAACTCAAGCGCATAGATAATTAGAATCATAAATAGAATGCTATACCCATAAAAATCATGATAAGGAACTGACTCTAGTGTTGCAACACCATGTTTGTGTAATTATGCAGTAGGTATTTGCCAATGATACTGTACATGACACTTGAAAAGTTAATTGGCATTTTCAAAAGAAAATATGAACTGTGAAGAATCATAAAATTTAAATGATACAGAGAGATATAATTCTATAATGATTTATATTATATTCATCTTTAAAAAATCTAGACTTGGATTTTGACAGCAATCCAAAACTCATATCTATTTCTTAATATTCTATAATAAGGGTAAGAGAAGTGTCCATCCATATTCCTGACATGGACATCTTTGAGGTTAGAACAAACAGCCCCCATTTAAACAGGCTGAAAGGAAAGAAATGCCCTCAGGGGCCTATCTGGTTCGAGTGCAGTGTGATACAGCAGGTTTCTCTCTTGACAAAGCAGAGAATGTGGCTCTAGAGCTTCCACCTTCTGAATATATATTAGGAAATACAACTTTTTTGCATTTTATTTTATTTATTTTTAATTGACAAATAATGATGTTTTCATTTATATACATTGTGGAAAGATTTAATTAAGGTAACTAACATATGTGTCACCTTACCAACTCATCATTTTTTGTGGTGAGAACATTAAAAATCTATTCTTTTAGCAATTTTTAAATATACCATATGTTATTATTAACTATGGTCACCATGCAATGCTAAAACTTATTCCTCCAATATGAGACTTTTAAAAATTATTATGGATACATAATAGTTGTATATTTTTATAGGATACAAGTGATGTTTTGATACACATGTGAATTAATCAAATCAAATTAATTGGGGTATCCCTCACCTCAAGCATTTAACACAGTCTGACACTTTGTACCCTTTGATCAATGTCTTCCCTTTCCCCCACTCCTACCTTTAAGCCTCTGGTAACTACTTTTCTATTTTCTGTTTCAATGAGATTGACATTTTTAGATTCCACCCATAAGTGAGATCATATGGTATTTATCTCCCTGTGCCTGACTTGTTTCATTTAGCATAATGTCTTCCGGTTCCATCCATTTTGTCATGAATAACAGAATTTCCTTTTTTTAAAGGATGTAGAGTATTCCACTGTGTATAAATGCCACGTTTTCTTTATCCATTCATTTATTAATGAACACTTAGGTTGCTTCCACATCTTGGCTACTGTGCATAATGCTGAAATGAACATGGGAATGCAGATATCCCTTAGACATACTTATTTCAATTCCTTTGGATATATATCCAGAAGTGGGATTGCTAAATCATATGATAATCCTATATTTAGTTTTTTGAGAAACCTCCATACTATTTTCCGAAATAGCTGTACTAATATACATCCCCACGAACAGTGTACAAGAGTTCTCTTTTCTCCACATCCTCCTCACCAGCACTTGATATCATCCTTCTTTTTGACAATACCAAAATGAGATATCACCTCATACCTGTTAGAATGGCTACTATCAAAAATGTGACTTCTTTTTGACTCTGATTGCTTCATTTCTCTAAGTTCCTTGGCATTCCCCATAGACAAAAATTGGACTTTCTTGGTTTTACCATTTCTTTTGAGGCAGGCCTGTGCTTTTTTGTATCAGGATTATGTAGCCAGGGGAACTTATCATATCTACATATTACAGAAGTATTAAAGTATATAAATGCCAGAGATTAGGAAGAATGGAAACAGATCAACAAACAATTTTCATGTTTTTTATATTCCATCGGCTCTACAGTCTATTCCTTTGGTGAATCACCACATTTTTCCAGGAAGCACATAGTGGATTAGGTCATGTTTGGTGCTCATTCCTTTAGTGAATTTACTGGGTACCTACTATATTACAACCTCTGTTCTAAGCATTATTGTGTAATAGGGAATGAACAAGTCCCAGCTGTCATTCAACATGGATTCTAGTGGAACAAGACAGAAAATAAACAAATAAGCAATAGATATTTAGCGTGACAGATAAGTGCCTTGGGGAAAAACAAAGCAGTTGCTAACTATGGCAAGATTCAAAGTGTGAGTGTGGGAATTCATAGCTGAAGTGGTGTGGAGAAAAAGATCATCTATAAGAGAGGAAATCAGAAGTTAGGCTGTTGGATATTTCATCCAACTGCCTGTTGGCATCCAAACGGATGTGAAAGTTGTTAAGAATAAAAGCAAGAGTTCAGATGAAAGGAAAGACTGTCAACCAAAAAATAAATTCTTAATAAGTAAGAGTGTCCATACAGTCAGAGAATGATTGTTACCAGAAGAAGAAAAGGAGGATGTAACTGAAGGACATATTTCCAAACAAAGAGTTTTGATTTGTGTATGTTTTGAGAGTATTGTTTGCTTGTCTTTTTAACACAAAGTTTTGTCAACCCTGGATGTGACAATGTGGGCCATGAATAAAAACACCAGGCCCATCTGTGATCCTGACACTGATATCTTTGAGGTGAGAATAAACAGCCCCCATTTAAACAGGATGAAAGGAAAGTGATGTCCCCAGGGGCTTATCTGGTTCCCGTTCAAGTGTAGTGTGATAGAGCAGGTTTTTCTCTCCACTAGGCAGAGCATGTTGGTCTAGAGATTCCGCTTTCTGAAGACATACTCAGGAAACATAGCTTAGAACACAAGATTATAAGGTTCTTAAGAGAAGTGTGGAAAACAGGCTCTCCCGTTGCACCCTTCCCCCTGCCAGGAAGCTCAATGGGGGTGGGAGGTTTCTCGACTCATTATTAGGAGCATAATAATTGCCAGTTGTTTTGGGGTCCAATTGAGCAATGTTATCGAACAGTGGTGGAAAAATACTTGTTCCAGAACAGCAACAAAAAAGTGATTGTCCAACTCAGAATATAAATCCAATCCCATCCAAAATATTGGCCTCTTTTTATATTGTGAGTTTGCTCAATGTCTTGGGATCCATCACCTGCTCATTATGCGTCATTCAAAGGAATACTTCTTTTTATTCATTTCAAAAGTTTTTAAATATTTGGTATTATTAGCTTTGTTAAGTTGATATTATGTTTGAATGTAGTGAAAGGTATGTAGAATTTTACTGGTGAAAAGGATGCATGAATCCGATTGTGCCAAGGAAAGTTCTATGCACTAGAAATTTTACTTGCATTGTCACTACACAATGTGGAGAAGAGAAGCTTCTGTTCCATAAATTGTCTATTACAAAGAAATCATGTTTGACCCTACAATATAATTATTGTTAATTTTTAGGTGTGATAATTGCATTGGGTTACATTCTTAAGAAGTTTTTACCATTCAAAAGCATGTGTTGATGTATTTTTGGACAAAATGATGTGATGTCTGGACAAGATGGGGTTACCAAATGAATGTTTAAGGTGTGGCAAAATTTTCCAAACTCCCTTTGGGAAGGAAGGCCCTACCCCTCTTTCCTTCATCCCCAAACTACACTGTGATGCCCCAGTTTGCTAAAATCTACGTAATTTTTCCTCTATCCCCGGTGTTTCAAATCACCAGAGTGGGAAAGAGATCTAAAGCAAGAGGGTTGTAGCAGCTCCAGCCCATTCTCTCCTAAACAGCTACACACCTACACACAACGGCAACATCACAAACTCTCATCTACAGCGAAGTCCAGATTTGGATGCTGGGGGCTGACAATTGCCCCTGCCAGCTCTACTGGGGCAGCTAGGCAAGGGGAGAGAGAAAACAACTGGAGGTAAAGAAACTGAGTTTCCTGTCCTCTCTACCTGTCTGCTCCTCGCCCTCCCATTCACTCCTCCCTCCCCCACGACTTAGCTGCACCCTGCCCTTCCTCTCTTGCCCGGCTGTTCCCTAACCCCTCCACTCCTTCACGCCCCCCAGGTCCTCTCCCCACTTCCCGTCCTCACCGATACCCCCTCCTCCTGCTCCCTCCCTTGCCTGACAGCTGGTGGCGGAGCAGCCACAGCTGCCGCGTTCCTGCCTCTGCAGCCGGTCTCTGCCAGTATCAGCCGCCCACGCCCGATCTGGATGCTGAAGTCGCGCACTGGCCTGGAGATGAGGGCGGGGGAGAGAGTGGTGTGGCTGCGAGAGGGGAGGGAGGAGTGGGAAGGAGACAAAAACAGCTTCCAAGCTGCGGGCGCCGCTCCGCTGGCCATCTGGGCTGGAAGGGTCTCTGGGTCAGTGGCGGGGGAGCCGCCCCAGTGACTCGGTTTCTAGCCGGCAATTCAGGGGAGCCCCTTTACTGCCGAGCCACAGCTGGTGAGGACAGACACCAGCCGAAAAACACCTCCTATGCAACCAGAGCTCAGAAAACCCAATCCGGGAAGAAAGAGCAGCCCAGGAGAAGGAAAGGGCTCCAAGGAGCCCTGCTCCTGAGGGTTCCCTCAGGTGCTGGTGGAGACGCGTCACTCGTCACTCGGTAGCAAGTAAGTGCTTTTTTCTTGCTGTTGTGTCCAGTCCTAGAATGGTGACAGCTATCATCTGCCGCCAGCCTCTCCCACCCACTCCCACCTGCCCCATCCCATACACACCCTTAGGGTCCCCAGCAGGAGGATGGAGATTAAGATTTTGGACGTGCATTAAGAGAGCCACTTCAACAGCCACAGTCATCTGTGGATGTTTGCACGGTTTGTGTCGTCTGTTGTCTCATTCCACCAGGTAAGCTTCTGAAACCAAGATGCTCTGTTAGTGTAAAATATCTAGAAACCCTATATGCAATGATTTATATTACATGATACACTGACAGGATAAAAGCAATGAAAGATTATGCAGATTGGTTTACACTTCTAGGAATCCTGTCTGTAATTCTAAGCAACTTCACGATTTCAAGATTGGTGCTTTCATATAAGAATTGTCAGTATAAAAGTAGAGGCCTCAGTTGAATGTCGTTGGAAATGGTGTGTTCAGTTTAAACAGCTGGGCATCTTGATATTGTTTGGATCCACAGGGTTTTTGTTTCTGTAGCTCTGTGAAATACATATCTTCTGGGTGCTTTCTTTCAGAAGTGATGACGTGACTCAGTTATGATACCTTCAAAACATTGATCATAGCAAGACAAATGATGAATCCAGGTGGAATGACATGCTGATGGGGTCCCTTCATTAGGGGGAATGATGTCAAGTTTGGATACTGGCCAGAAAAATACTTTGGAATGGGAAGGAGTTTGGGTGGTGTTAGTTGTGGTATTTTTTCCCCTTGTTATTGTTCAAGAGTGTAGTTTATGGCAAAGTAGAAGGAAACTGGGTCCCACAGTAAACAGATTCCTGCGCACCATACCTGCCGTGACTAACCCTAATTAAAGATTGTATAATCCAGCTCCTATTTTTACAGGTAAGGAAGATAAGGCGCATAGCAGTAATTTGCTGGAGCTACCTGGCTAATCAGTGACTGAGCAGGAGGTCCAATGAAGAAATCTTTGGGATTTAGAATTTAGAATTTTTGTGCAAATGAAGCCAATTGTTTAACTTAATTGAGCTTTATTTTTCTTATTTATAAGTGACACATCGAAAACTCCTACTGAGGACTAATTGACAGAGATTACATGAAGGGTTTTATGAAAGTATAATACTATGTGTAACTGTTGCTTGTACAAGGAATTATTCTGTTTTTATCTACTTCACTATTCTAGTTCTCATTCTAAGTCTAGTTCAATATAAGAATAAAGGAGGCTTTGACAGGCTTCTCTAGAATGCACTAGAGAAAGTGGAATTTGAATCCATCACTTGCCACTTGTACAGCTTAAAGTATATTCTAAACTGTAAGCCTCTGTCTTCACAGAAGTGTATGCTTTGGCTAGCTACTCACATTTAAACACCTTTTAATATTCTCCATATATGCTGTACCCTGCTTTTCTTTTTAGTTTTAAATTTTGTTTTAGGTGTGTAGTCTTCCTTCCTGGGGGCGAAACAATCAGTATATTGGATATTGGTGAATTTATTTGGTCTATTAATTAATATAGGAAAAATCAAAGTTGAGGCATAAATACTTCACTCTTGACTGTAGAGATTTGTTAAAATCTTGCACTTGGGGAAGAGGAGCTGCGAACCCCTTCTTTCCTGTGGGTATGTTTGAAGTGATGGAAGAAAGACCTAACTTGGACATAAGCTCAGGAAAGGGACCAATGGATCCCAGATGGAACAGCCAGGCCCCTAGACTCTCTGCTGCATATCAGTCTCAATTTTAGAACTGGGGGTACAGCCAAGCACTTAGGAACTGGGCATCCTGTTTCCATAGCCTCATGTAATAGAGGGTTTGGTAGTTGATATACACGCTCACTGATTTTGCCCATGTATGATGAACACACGTCCAAAGCATACTAAAAATGAAAACAACAGCATTTTGCCCAATCCCTTACTTAGGAAAGAAGAATCCTAATACACCATAGCCCTAGATCTCAGTGGCTTGAAATCTGCATCATAACTGGAGACTGAACAATTATCTACGCACCACCTTAGACTCTCTCTTGAAAGCTTATAGTGGAGACACTAATGTAAAAGGAACATTCTTGATTTCTGGGAGTCTGAGCCCATTATTTCCAGTAGCCAGTATCAGTGTTGATCAGTAGCTAGAAGGAAATCTGGAACCTCTGCCCACCCCCACAAGCTATCAGCAATGCACAGTCGCCTCTCATCACACAGAACTAACTTATACAAACTGGTCTTCTTTTTGCCTGCGTTGGTCCCCTTCTCTTCTATTAGTGTGGGTTAACCAATGCCAGGTAAGTGAGGTCTCATCTATGCAATATTGGAAGAGGGAATCTTTGAGTTTAAAGGGAATGACTTCCTCTGAGGGCTCCTAGCGATATTTTTCAGTGGTCCATATCTTGTGACCCAGCTAAGATCATGATTTCCATACATTTGTTCAACCATTGCTGTTTATGAACTAGGCTTCATCTTTTTATATTCCACCCTGGTATTCCTAGCAAACAGATATCCCAGTTGTTTATGCAATATTTCTAACTGGGTTGACTTGGCCTGGTGCTGGCTGAGCATAACCAGCTCTATAGATAGCTCTGACGGTGGGGAGAGTCAGGTGACTGCCTGTGTCTGCATGAAAGAGCTTGATGGAAATGCTGAAACTGGGGCCCCACTCATGGAAATTCTGATTGAAAGGTCTGGGATTAGGCTAGGGTATTTAGTTTTAGACTAGAACAGCAGATGATGCTGATATGGGGACCATAGACCCTTGTTGAAGATATTATGTTGAGTGGAATATTCCATCTCTTCTGCTTTAAATGCTAGGATGAGTCTTCCAGTCCACAGTCTCTCACTCTCTGAGTTCCCTCAAAGCTTGCCGGGTCTAAGCACTTGAATACAGGCTATAAGTTTGGCTCTGGTCCATATCTACTCTCTTCACCTGGCCCTGGGGCACTATGTCGGACATTCTTTGCCCAACTCAGAGTGAGACAACTCAGAGTGAGACAAAAACCATGCTCACCCTAACATGTCTCAAGGATCCTCTCTAGTTGCTCTCCAGTTTGAGAAGGGAATGGGTATCTATTTGGTGTTGCATTTGAGAAGTTAAAGTAGCTTTTGGGGGTAGCAGGGACTAAATCCTGGAAAAGCAGACAGACCTTTTCATAGTTATCAGAAGTAGAGGTAAATAGCCAGTTAGAAGAATCCTCCAGGATTCCAGTGAATGTGTCAGTTCTGGAATTAAAAACAAAAAACAAATAAAACAAAAAAACAAGTATTTCATAGCTCCAGTGGCATCTAAGACCATAGACCAAAAGGTTTCAGGATTTCTGGTCAGTATATAAGTTACATTCATAACAGGATCTGTTTTGTATTACTCTAGTAGGGCAAGAATGCATTCTTCCCTTTTGAGCTCTTAAATGGCCTCTGACCAGATTCTTCTGGTCAAGGGTCTGACTGACTAGGGTCATAAGGATAGTTAGTTCTGGAGAGACTCTGGTTTTCGCCAACATGCTTGTTTTGATGGGCTGGACACACACAACATGGAAGTTTTTATCATATCCATAGAAACAAAGGACCCTGCTAGTGAACCATCAGGTTGTCATAGAGAAGCTCAAGTGGGCGTATTTAAAACAGAGGCAGCTTTCCTTCATGTTCCTGCAACCCTTCTCTGCCTCCATTGCCTGGCCAGTCATAAGGGCTCGCCCTGGTGAGCCTCCATCTTCCACAGAGATTAAATGTCCTCTGTATCCTCTCCAGGCATTCAAATTTCCACTGAGCTTTCCTTGGATTCGTTCTGGTAAGTGAATTTGAGATTAGGTGCTAATATCAAGACATTGTCATATGTCTACTCTTCTAGTGTAAGTTGATTATGTCACTCTGAATGTATGTGACCTACATTCCTCCTTCCTGGAGAGCAGACACCTGAAAAGACCTCAGCTCCTCATTATTTTAAGGAACCATCACTAGAATCTGAGTTCACCAGACTTCAAGGGGAAGTTTGGTTCCCATGAACAAAAGGACATGTCCTTTTGGATTTATGCTGCTGCTCATTTGTTTACTAGGTTGTGTCTCTGCTTTTTAATTCTGAGGAATGCTTAGATTAAAATTTTTAAGAATTATAATCAAAACAAAATGGCAGTGCAAATGACAGAATTTCCTTTTTTTAATAGGTTTAATAGTAGTCTATTATGTATATGTATATATATATATATATATATATATATATATCACATTTTCCTTATGCATTCATCTGTTGATGGACACTTAGGTTGCTTCTGTATCTTGGCTATTGTATTATAAATAATGCTGTCATGAACATGGGAGTGCAGATATTTCTTTGACATGCTGATTTCAATTCCTTTGGATATATGCCATTTGGGACAACACGGGTAAACCTGGAGGATGGTATACTAAGTGAAATATTCCAGGCATAGAAAGACAAATACTGCATGATTTCAAATGTATGTGGAATCTAAAAAAATTAAACTCATAGAGGTAGAGAGTAGAATGGTGGTTACTAGAGGCTGGGAGTAAGGGATTGGACAGAGAAAGGAGAGATGTTGGTAAAAGTGTACAAAGTTTCAGTTAGACAGGAGAAATAAGTATCAGCGATCTGTTGCACAGTATGATGATTATAGCTTAATAATGTATTGTATATTTCAAAATGCTAGGAGAGTGGATTTTAAATGTTCTCACCACAAAGAAGTATGTGGGTTAATTAATATGTTAATTAGTTTATTTAATCATTCTACAATATATACATCTATCATAACATCACATTGTACTCCATAAATACATACAATTATTATCAATTAAAGATAAAATAAAACTTTTAAAAATGACAGTGCATGCTTATGCTTTTGCGAAAGTTGCTCATGTATAATTTTGTTTCCTCAAGATAACATATTCTAGGAACGTATTGGCTGAAATTGTCAGAGTGAGGGAGTTGAGTCCAGAATTAAGTGGATATATTCAAGAGTAGAACCTGAAGCCCATATGGGTTGACCTGA